GTCCCCGGAAAGGACAAGTACGGGTTCGAGTCCCGTCAGAGACTGGAGTTTTGCCCACAAATCGCCATTCTTGTGAGGCATGTAAATTTGTTCCAGACGAAACTGGTTCGATGAAGAGATTCACGAGAAAGGAGAACCGTGCTCAACATGCAAATGAGATGTGAAAGTTGGTCTTTGTTCTATCCGCAAATGATCCTCGAGGTGAATTTTTTTTAATTTTAATATTTTTATTTATTTCTGTATATTTCATGGATAATTCATACATATCAGGATGGTCAGACGATGACTGAAGGCTCTCCAGCAAAGGTATGCTAGTAGTCTTTCTTGAAAGCACTAGAAACACTATCAAATTCTATAGTAGTCGTAAATGAGAAATGACATAGGATACCAGCACTGTCCCATGATCAGTGAATATTATTATTTGCTATACTTATCGGGATGATAATAGATAATAGATAATAGGCCATCTTGATATGAATGATCCATGAAATATTCAGAAGGACCACTCTGGCTCGTGACAGGGACGAATGGAGACTATACTGCCGCCCGCTCGAGGAAGTCGATGATCAACGAGACGACAGGTGATACAGGTGATACTTATCGGGATATTTGCTTCTACCACCTCCGGCGGAGGTAGCCGTTGCCCGAGTTTTTTTTTTCGCTGATACAATGGGTCAATCATAATACAACAACTTTGCTGCTATTCTCTTTTCCTTACGGCTGGCGGATTATGACTGAATAGCTTAACTCTATTAAACTTGATTTGCCGGCTTGTTGGATATTTGTTGCTGAAATTCTGAAAACTCAAGTCGGATTCTGCAAGGTCTCGAGCATTTTAAATCGAAGTGCCACGGAGATGGTAGAAGTTGTTCTTCACCATTCGTTTACATGTAGAGTTATTTTTGCGGAAAGAAAGTGAAGCTCCAAAATAGGAAGTGCTCGTAAAAGTTTTCAAGCCCTTCTGGCTCACATATATTGCTCGCAATTAAGTCGGAATTAGAGGAGGTCACTCACTTCAAGTTACCAAAAATAACTAATTTACTAACTCTTCCTTCGTTTGTACTCGAAACAAGCGGCGGGACCAGTATCGAATTAACGCCAGTGATCTTGAACGAAAGCGTACTTTATTGCTCTACTCTGTCACAATTCAAGGTTTAGCAACTAAAACTTTCAAGTTCTCAGGATGATCCCAAACCTCTACCTGCTAATCGTAGTCGCCAACTTTTCCATTGGTCTCCTTCAATGCTATTCTTGTTGTGCTTCAACTAGTTTTCCTGCAGAATTCGAGGGTGGTTAAGTTTTCTATCCGCTAGTGATTTACATTTTGCAGGCACTCTTACCCATAATGCTAAGGATGAAGTCAGTAATCTCCTTTCGGGATGAACCCCATCATCCGATTTTCATTCGGAAACGTAGACGCGCTTCGAATGCGTATTTGACTTATACGATGACTTGCCCAGTTTAGGGAATTGTAAGTGCCTTTATCCTCCTCGACGAATATGGTATCAATCATCTGACCGCGATAGGATGGAAAGCTTGNTTAGCCTGGGCGGATACCGGCCCGGGTTTGATCCGCGAACCACGCGTGTGTCATATTGCGCAAATAGCCGCTACACGACCTCCGAACTTAAACCAAATTCAAATACTGGTGTAAAATTCAATTTTATTTCTAATCGGTCAAGTGATTGATACTACTCAAGAATCCACTGTTGTTGAATTCATATTCCGTTTAGATGGCTTGCAGAACCGGATGTACTTAGAAGTGATTGAGATTTTCAACATATTAGAGTGAAGGAGTAAGCGGGGATTGAGCTCCTCAATCTTTCCACGAAGAAACTGAGCTCGAAGAAATATCTGTTTGTGACTACTAATAACACATTCCTCAAATAGATTATGGTAATAAAGTAGAGCCAATTTCCAACGCACAGCAAGCAATGAGCTCCCTTGTCGATTTCGTTTCAGAAGCTCATTGTATCAACGAAAAAAGCTTAGGCAACGATCCTGCTACTGAAAATGGAAGTAGCAAATGTTTCGAGAAATAAAATGGGCAGATACTGGCCCGGGTTTGAAATGTACATAGTGTATAGTAATAATCACTGTTCATGGGACTCCACCGATATCCTTGCTCTCATTTACGACTACTATGAAATTCGACAGAGTTGAAATTCAACCGAGTTTTTCTAGTGTTTTCAAGAAAATCCTTGTTGGAGAGTCTGCAATCATATCTGGCTCTTGGTGTGAATGATCTATGGAATACTGAGGAGTTTATTGCTTCTTCATTTGCGGATTGAACAAAGCCCAACTTTCACATCACATTTGCACTTCGGACACTTGCACTTTGAGCACGGTTCTCCTTTCTCGTAGATTTCTTCATCGAACCAGTTCCCTCTGAAAGTCAGCTTTACGTACCATTTTGAAGAGAACAGGTAAGTAAATTCAACACAGGTGAAGAAAGAAACACGATGTTTTAATGGACTTACTGCTTCACGTATTGACAGCCTGCAAACGTCATAGAGTCACACCATTTCACTCCACATCCAAGTTTGGTGCTTGATTGCCATACCATCTCAAACGGGTGATCGTATCGTCCAGAAGTGAATGCCATGGGTAAAAGGCCTGATCATACCTGAGTGTAATGACCAACGCCACGGCCGAAGACCTCATCGGTGAGTATATTTGTCTGTCCAACACCCTTGTCCTTTAATTCGTCGAACCATGCGGTAGTGCTCTGAGAAGTGTTGGTGCCGAACTCATCGAGACCCTTCTACTTGGAATATTCTTACCTTTATTGCAGACACCGTCATGTTTTCCTTAGTTTTCGTCGTCATGTAAATGTTCTCTCCGACATCCTCGATGGAAGAGTGACCCCACTGACATTG